AAACTATAACCAAGAAGCACTACGGTATTTACATGGTTTCGAGCTCCGATAATCAGAATACCGTGTCTAACCTGAAATATGTATCGTTTGATAGACGCCAACGTTACTTCTACAGTCTGTTTTATACTCTATAAAAATTCATAATTCTATACTGTGATAGTCTGTAAAGTAGTACACTTTTGTGCTACTGTGTTGTATAAAGTGTGGCTATAAGACAACTAATCAGAATCCAAACTGCAATTTACTTTCTATTTCCAAACGATCGAGTAACTTTTACTTTCATGTACCAACAAAAACACCCGAAAATTTGTCGATTACGATTATCTACCGTTCAGGTAAATAATAGATATATCGGTAGAAAAACGGAAGTAATATGCGGGAACTGCGGATACGGATGTTGTTTATTACAGAATTTAGGAAAAACAATTACATAATAGACATAAGGTTGTATTAAACAGGTTCATATTTGGCATACGCCAAACGTTGTTGAGAAGCCGTAATCTAGATGTGTATGAATATTTAAATAATTTCAAAACAGGAAATTGGTAGAGTACTTGGCAACAGAAATGGGATATTATGTAGATTTATTTTTAAATTATTGTAATTACTAAACTAACTTGAGTTAACTTTCAAAGCATTTTTTGTTGTAATTACAGAATATCGGGATATCAACAAATCTGGATATCAGCAGTGGTTAAAATAGGAAACCAATTACAACCTATAAGATGTTAACCTCTGTCATATTATTGAATTTTCTAACTCCAAAAACAATATGTCTTGAACTTAATCCTTCACTTGAAAGAAATATATTTGAATTTGAGGACTCTACGTGCGGCTATTCAGAGTACGAGACATTATGAGTTGAATAGGAGAAGACAAATACTAGACGTATGTACCTCAACTAATAGGAAGCATACGAATATCTTATCCGGTTTTTATAATATATGGCTTGCACGTTTCGTCAACTGAAGCAGTTGCCGAGAGGAATCCGATTTATCTGTATATTGTGTATCGAAGACTCACTTACGCCCGGTCAAAACAAACCACAACTAACAAGAAGCGCCCTAGCACTCATCCAGTTGTGATGGATGGCCGAGTTCTGCCAGACATACTTTAGTTTCGGATGGTCAGACCGAGGAGGTGCTTTGACACGGACACATCTCGTCAATAGCGACAGTTTCTAGAGAAAAGCTATTTGCGTAGGGCTATGAAGTAGTTTTCTCCACATGACCTCCTCACCCTGCACAAGGTCCAGGTAATACTTGGCCTCAAGTACTGCTTACATGCTTAGGGTGTTGCGCTGCCCCAACTACATTATACATGCCCGATGCTATTCTAGAAGCGCTGTCCAACCGATCAATGGCTCTTCTTTAACTGACAGCCTCGGGACCCTTTCGCACCGACGGGCCGTCGGCGATCTAGCTCTCTTCTACCGCTACGCCACCTGACTTTGCTCCTCAGGCTTTTCTTCTTCTACTAACATTAGGCTTCTGCCCGCGCAGCTGGTTCGGTATAAAAAACGCCCTAGCTGCTACGTACCAATTTTCACGCTCCGATTGGCCCGTGGGTCAGTGATTAACGCATTCTTTTAGATTTATCATGTTTGACTAGCGGGTCAACTACCCCAGGTTTACACATTAATGTGTTTTTGTAGCTAAACCAGATCATTTAGAAGGAATTTCTTGATATCGTGTTACCAAGCCACCAACTAAATTTAGACGTACAAGAACGATTTATGACTGGGAGTTCTATAAGGAAATTAGAAATTATGTTTGTTGTGCTATTAGGAGAGAGAAAAAAGGCTACCTCGATTATGTTTTGACTACATGGAATATTCTCAGATCTTTGAATAGTTCTTTTTTAAACGCACGTCAAACAACCAAAACATTAACTCAATTAAACTTTTTAGACAAATATGAAAACGTCACATCAAAAGTTATGCTAAAGGCTCAGATGGCATCACAATTGATATGATCTGTATAATACATAAGCATTTGCTCAAGTATATTACCTCCTATAATAACTTTTGTATGACAAATTATCTTTATTCCTCCTCCTGGAAGAATGCTCTTGTTCTTCCTCTGCCTAAATCTAACTATCCTTCAAGTTTTTCTGATCTTCATCCTATAAGCATTATACCAAACCTATGTAAGCTTTTGGAAATGGCTCGACATGAGCAGCTCCTCACATTTTTTTGTGAAAATAATTTACTGACCACCTCCCAATCTGGATTCAGACCATTACAAAGCACCACCACTGCGCTCCTGTCTATATCGGATGATATTTATAGCGCGGCTGTTCAAGGACAGCTGTTTTGCTCAGTTCTTCTTGATTTTAGCAAAGCCTTCGATACGGTTGACCCTCTGTAAAAAGCTTAGATACTTTGGCCTGTCCTCGTCGGCTTGCACGCTGATCAGAAGCTAGTTAACTGATCGCTCACAGTCTGTCATACATGGAAACAATATATCAACTTCTTTACTCAGAAATGTTGGTGTCCCTCAAGGATCTACTTTGAGTCCCCTTTTATTTGCTCTTTATATATGCGATTTTCATGAATCTGCCAGCTACTCAGTCGTTCATCATTACGCTAATGATACCCAACTTTATAGCAGCTTCGATCCTGATGAATATATGCTTCAATCAAGGTCTGCACTCTATTTTTGACATATCTAGTGCTCACAGTTTAAAACTGAATGCTGGCAGATCTTGCTGCATTTTATTTGGGCCCAAAAAGAATCGTGAAATAAATCAATATTACATTAATATTATGGTGAATAATGAAGACATATCGTTTGTCCTATAATGTGCTTCGTCAGTTTTCTATCATATTCGAAGTGTCCTGTCCACACAGCTCAAACTCAAACTCTGCGAATCCCTAATCCTGCCAACATTATTTTACAGTGACTCTGTTTATGTACCTTCTCTCCTACAACGTGATGCCAAGCGGACTCAGATGATTCAAAACTCATGCATCAGATTTTCTTATGGAATCCGTAAATTTGATCATATTAGTAGCGCTTTTGGCCAATCGGGATGGTCAAAGATGAACAAATTAAAGAAGCTGCATTGCCTATCTCTAGTTCATAAGACCCTTCTCCTTAAAACGCCATCTTATCTTTATTCAAAGCTCTCTGTCAGAACGATCAAGTATCGTCTAGGAATAAACACATCTCACTCATCCTGGGGCATTCGATAACATTGCTCACACGTAGTTTCTCGTACTGGGCACCCAAACTATGTAATTGCTTGTCAAGTGAGTATAAAGAATATAGCCTAAGCAATTTTAAAAAAGGTTAAGGATGAGTTCAAAGCAATCGGATGGCCAGAAATAAACTTTACGCGTATCCACATGTACTTGATGTTTCCTTTTTCTGAGAAGTGTAATATTTTAAGCTTTTCTCGTTTTGGTGGTCAATGTTGTGAACTGTGCTATTTAAATGTAGGTACTGTTATTTCTTTATATATAGTTTGTGTCAATGTTTTTTAGTTCGGGTTGAAAAACGGCATAAGCTGACACTCCACCTTTCCGTCACTATTTCTGTTAAACCAACTATTTTGCATTCATGTGACTAATAAAGGCTGTTTATTATTATTATTATATAAAATGGGGACTAGAGGTTCTTCTTACAAATATTGTGTAGATTTTCGTTAGTTTGAGACAAATCTTCGAAGAAATCAACTATAATCAATAGACACATAGATTCGAAAACGGCTTCTTATTGGTCAATGTTGACCCGCGCGTCAACTGTTTAGCGGTCATTGCACTCAAGTACCAATGAAGACTTCTCCAATATGAATGAAATTAACTTTTTCGGGGGTCTTTCTTTCTTCTGTATTTGGTATAAGTACAGGAACATCGAGAATACCCCTCGTAACACAGTGAATGTGCGCGAATAATGAGACAACTGTTAATGTATGCAACGTAACAATTCGGTAGCAAAAAAGCTTGTGGCAGCCATTCTTCATGGCATTCATACGAAATTTGCTACACTCTATTTTGACCGTCTCACACCTCTATTATTCTTTGAAAAATGCTGTTCAGTTACAAAAGATATAAGCTCTATAAATCATTTTTAAACGATATGTATAGGTGAGACCTATAAGGAAGCGTTTATGCTTCTTATCGCCTTAATCGAACATTGATTAGCGGTATAATATCCATCGTTGAAAAATAGTTCCGAATGATTTGTATCTTTGAAATTAGTGTCAGGCTTAATTCATGGAGTGTGGGTAAAATTATCTATTAGTTGAGTTACCTAATGTATGTGTGTACGTACATCTGAAAGCTGGTACGCAGGACGTAGGATCTCGGTAGAAATTAAAACGTTATAAGCTTTATTGAATTGTTGTTGTATGAGGAAACAGTGCGGCATATTCTTGGTAGCACATAGCCAACTTCTTCTAAATAGGAGCGCCTCCGGTGACAAATGACGTAGTGTAGCTGATATATGACGATACTTAATAAGCTCCTAATGGTTTGAAGCGATTCACCAAAAACTATCTTAATCGTGTTCTACGTAACTCAATCGGTTCGAAAAGCTTATATCATATGATTTTCCGTATATCTTTATCGAGGGACATACCCCTCCATATTTAGCTCTTAATTCCGTGTATGCTTTGCAGATAAAAAAGCAATTGTTACCGACACTTTGTGATCTTTCATTCACATTCAAGGCTAACAAAGAACTTATTACTTTTAAATGATATCGTCATAAAACCGAATTTGTTGGATTTTTGAAAAATTTATAATTTAATATTATTAGAATACGGGCATGAGGTGTTCGATGTGATAAATCAATTCCATAAACCATATTGCCTATATAAAAACTGAATGATGCTATAAAATTATGGAAGATTTTGTATACTTTTCTACGCATGAGTCACCAATTACATTGTAGTTTTACAAATAGCAGTTGTTTGTTGCTGCTTTATGGTAAGCGTTTATTTCATATGAAGATATTACAACATCTTACATAACGTATTTTAAATATGTTTGTTACGCTGCAGACTGCCAGCCATCTCCACGGCCAAGGCCATGCAACTAAGTTTGAAGCCTTCATTTAAGTGACATTGTTGGAATGTCTGTTTTTGCAGCTCGACAGCTTTTCAGGTGTACTCCATTACCAAAGGAGAAGCCAACGTAGTTGCGATTAGGAATGTATAAGCTCTTTTGAAGCTTTACTCTCTAATGTACTACCACAACCCAATAGTGTTATTAGTAGATGGAAGAAATTAATATAAGAAATATGTTTTATATATAAGGTATCCTAGCCGCTGCCGGGCGAACATCTACGTGAACATTAGGGCTGTAGTTATTCCCGTATGAAACAACGAATGGACGTTTACTGGTCTTCTGCGAATATCAAGAATCCCATCTGCTTTTCACAACAATACCAGGGCGTAGTAAGCTGTCCTCGAATATTCAAAAAGAAAAATCGAACTGACACTATTTTTTCTTCAATCATATTCATTATATTACAAGACCAGCTGTAAGGGTTTCTATAATCGGCCAATAGTAAACATACCAGAACGTAAGAAAATTTATGTAGATACTATAACTCGTGCGTATTCAAAGCCTACAGTTTCAATTTTTCCCAAATCAATACTTTTTTCACTGATATTTATTCTACTCTACGGCGTTATAACATGAGAATTTTCATAGCCGGAGAAAAATATAGATACCAGAGCATACAAAAAAGTTGACTCAGATACTATACCCGATGCATATGCAGAGTCCATTTGTCCAGAATTGTATGAGAAATATAGGGTCGACCTACATGACGCCATTTTCATTTATCTTATAAACTTAGAGCATCTCAATCATATTGTGAAATAAATCCTTTTGCTATAGGATTGAACTGCATAAGATTTTCTGGAAGCCACCGACCTGTCACCACCAAATTAGCGGTACATCGGGTGAAAACACGTAATTAAGCGCCTATATCATTAAGTCATCATAACACCAACACTGCAACAAAAAGATGTTCCTCCCAGTGCTAATGGCTGTGGCAACTGCATTTGCATATACACTGGCTGCAAGTAATTAGCCTCTCAAGCACGTGCGATGACGTAAGCAATAACGACGCATTCTTGCCATACACACTTCATAAAAGTATACAGAATATAAATAGTAGGTTGATTCTGCGGTCAATCATGTTTCTCCTTAGGCTATGCATGCGAATTCTGTCGAAATTTTGTTCTGACAAGTTCTGACCGATTCATCTAAATGAACAAACATTTGTTTTCCAGTAAGCGTGCTTACACTGGCAGCGACCAGCACGTCAGGGTATCCACAACGTCGTCAGAACCATTTGAGCGTTGTAAAAAAGTTGATTTCTTCGTACGACTTGCGTCCTTTTTGCCTACTTTTAGTTATTCCACCATTTTGAAATAGAACAGTTTGCTGTGGATATGATAGACAGAAATTATCAATAACAACATTTCAATCTCTCTTTTGTCATCTCCACTAGAAAATAAAATCCGCCAACTTCGTCCATATTTGCTGTACGGTAGAAACGCACTGACTACCTCAATTTCAGAAAAGTTGCACAGTGTTACTCGTCAGAACTAAACTGCGCCAGAATTCGCATCCATAGTAATCGAAACCTCATGTGCGGGCCCTGCCTCAGAGGCAGGTAAACCACGAAATTACGTCCAGGTAGCAGCTCTGCTGTGAGAAGCTATTTTTTAGCAGCATTGTTAGAGTGCTATTATGCTATTATGTATACTTTTGCGGTTCTTTATTGTACGTACACATTTATAATGTCATGAATAGTTTATCAGCGTACGTCTTGGTAAAGTTTGAAAATATATTTTCTCAATGCAGCGAATCAAGGGAGCCGACTTGTTTCTAGGTGTATATATATTTATATTTTTAGTAGTAGTAGTAAACAAGCAAACGATCTCGTCCTACCTTGTCAAGAAGTTGGTTGGTACACAGTCCATGAAATAACCTTTTGGCGAAGAGTTTCCATTTATAAGGATAAAGTACGGGTCTGGATACATTGGTGCAGCGGATTTTACAGTTTTCAGTCGTTTTCGGCCATATTTATATAACCTCGGAGTGACGTAAAAATGACAAGTTGACAGTTTGTTCTTCCTGATTCATACTACATAAGAAAAAACTATACAGAGTGTCATGACCCGCAAAAAGAAGAAGGAAGAAGAACAACAAGAGAAGCCCGAGAATGAAAAAAACTGCATCACAGATGAAGAAAATCGACCTGATTCGACTAATGTAAAAAAGATATTAGAAGAGAATCGATCCCTGAAGAAAACACTAGCAGAAAAGGAGGAAATAATTCGTCAGCTCAATAACGAAAATTTAAAACTAAAAGAGCAGCAACTGTCAGTAACCGCAAGTATTACTGAGAAGGATGCCATAGCATCAGCATTAAATAGAATTAATATGAGACTCGACGAAGTTGAGAAAAACCAGTTAGTAAAAGAAAATTCATACGCACAAATCTTAAAACAAACGATACCTATTACTAAAAAGCAATCACTGAAATGCATCACAGTTATTCCAAAAGAAAAACAATCTTGCGATAATACGAGAAGAGAATTGAGTAAGAGAATAAATCTTTCATCTCTGAACATTCAAATAGAAAGTGTGAGAAACTCAAAAAATGGCGGAATTGATATAAAAATTGATGAATCAAATCATAATAAACTGAAAGATGAACTTCAAAATAAATTGAATGAAAAATACCAAGTTACTGAGCCAAAAATGTTAAATCCAAAAATTAAAATAATAAATTATAAAAGTAGTGAGAAACCGAATGAAAAGCAAATTGAAGAAGATCTTATACATCAGAATTATATGATTCAGAGTGGAGACATACAAGTAAAGTTTATAAAATATTTTCCATCAAGAAACAATTACACTATCTACGCGGAAACTTCTGGAAAGCTATTCAAAAAAATCTTCGAAGACAATAATAGAAGAATACTTCTGGGATGGCAATGTTTGACAGTATATCAAAATAACGACATTTCTCAGTGTAGAAAATGCTACCGTTTTAATCATACAGAAAAGAATTGCAGGAATGAGAAGATATGTGCCAACTGTGGCAACGGTCACGAAGGAGAAAATTGTAAGCATGTATCAATAGAATGCTGCAACTGTAGATATGGAAATGAAAGATATAAAAAAAATTATAATATTAACCACTCACCTACCGACAATAACTGTCCATCGTACAAATATTATCAGGAACAACAAAACTTATGGATACTTTTTTAAAATTCAAGTTCATCTTTTACTACTCCTATCTCTAAAGAGGACCTAAAAATGTCAGTAAATAAATACATTAGTGATTTCCAAATTCCAAGTATTGCAACAAATATAGCACAAAACGTCGATGAACTTATGTACACAAAATTCTGATGCAAAATTTCGAATTTTTAATATGAACATAAGGAGTATAAAACGCAACATTGATTACTTAAAAATACTACTCGACCAAATATGGTACAATTTTGATCTAATAGTTTTAACCGAAACGTGGCAAGTGGTTGATATTTCTTGCTTCAATCAGCAGGGATATGACACGCTGTATAACTTTGGCACTTATAACCAAAACGATGGGGTGATAGTTTTTGTAAGAAATAAACTGCAATATAATCATGATACATTCACTTTCACTGATGGAATCAAAATTTTAAACATAATGATCCAAATTAACCATAACAAAATTGAGGTATCTGCAATTTATCGTCCGCCATGTTCAGAACCCCACGAGTTTTTAAAGAATATCGATTTTTTTTTTCAAAATCAAAATAAAGTTCATTTAAAGCAACATATTTTCTTGGGAGATGTCAATATAAATATTTTGGGCGATGATCCCATCACAAATGAATACTTGAATATCCTATCAAGTAACGGATTTCTGTCCTATATAAGCCTACCTACAAGGTCCATCAGTGGCACATGTATAGATCACTGCTTTGTGAAAGACCTATCCAACAAAATTACTTGTATACCAATAATCCTAGAAAGCGATATTACTGACCACTTCTCCACTATTTTACTGATATCTTCAAATGAAAAACATTCTAACATCCCTACCGTTAATAACAACCAGGAAAATTACAAATTTTTTGTCGACAATTCAAAACTAATATCAAAGTCAAACAAGAATCCTGGGAATAATTATACTCTATAAATAATATAGACAAAGCAACGGGACTGTTCATAGAGAAAATAAAAAACTAATAGATATTAGTACCAATAAAGTAATAATTAGTCACAAAGAGAAAAGCAGAAATGCCTGGATTACCAAAGGATTAATAATATCGGCAATAGAAAAAGAAAGACTATATAATGTAATGAAACTAACGCCAACTACAGAGAATACCGACTGCTACAACCAATATAAAAATAAATTTATAGAGCTTGTAAGGCAAACCAAACGAAAACATTACCTAAATAAATTGAATAATAACTTAAATGATCCTAAGCGGCTTTGGACAACTATTGATGAGATTACTGGGAAAACAAAATTTAAAGTGTGTCACTGAGTTAAATACAACATCGGGAAGAGTATTAAAAAATACTCAACAGATATGCGATGAATTTGTACAATTCTTTACTGACATAGGCGAAAATTTAGCAAGTAATATACTCGTACAAGTAAATGTACAAAATACTCAGCCTCCAAAAAGAACTTTGAACTCATTTATTTTGGATAAAGTCGAGCAATGTGAAGTATACACCACTGTTATGTCCTTAAAAAATCGGAAAAGTCCTGGGTTCGATGGTATTAAAAGCGAGCATTTGAAAATTATAACCGAGGACATAACAGAACCACTCACTTACCTAATCAACAAATGCTTTTAATTGGCATATATCCCTCAATTTTAAAAAAAAGGTAATATAATACCGATACATAAATCAGGAACAAAAACAGATGTTAACAACTATAGACCAATGTCAATAATATCCAGTGTAGTAAAGGTTTTTGAAAAAGTTTTATTTACTAGAATGATCCGATACCTCACAAAATTCAAAATTTTAA